CTAGAAGCTGAGGTACTGAAAGCGCCTCCTCCTAGAAGCTGAGGTACTGAAAGCGCCTCCTTGTTGGTTACTTTCTTGGGCCTTGACACAAATAGTTTTATGTTTTGCTAGTTTTATGTCAGTTATCTCATTGAGTGTCCTAGCTTGATACACTCTGCTTCATAGATTGGAATGAAAAAAATCCCTATTTCTTAATCCTGCAATTTTACTAATGCTTAATACAGTTCTACAAGTATTGATGAAAATGATTGCTGTTATAGACTTTTTTCAAGGTTCAAATTGTGCAGAAAAGATAAAATCACTTTTATATGATGACTACCATTAACCATAAATGTTAACTAGTTTTAAACCTTACTTTTGTGTTCTGTTGTAAAAGTAGGTATCTGGCACATCAGAAAAGATATCTGAATACCAGAGTAGAAATAAAGAATCGTTACTAGCCATATGAGTTCTTTTAACATGAACTTGAAATCAAACATATTTTTCTGTTCTTTGTATTGTGTTCATTGGAAAGATTTTATAGAAATGGAAATTCTTATCAGAATCTTTCATGTTTTAATCTCTAGGAAGATGAAGTCCTCATTACATTCTGAAGAGGATGATTTTGTTCCAGAACTACATAGAAATGTTCACCCCCGAGAGAGGCCTGATTGGGAAGAAACACTTAGTGCAATGGTAAATCAGTTTATTCATATTTTGTATGTGTGTGGTACATATGGAAGTAAAGTAAAGCATCATTATAGGATAAGTACAATATTTCTACTTGCTTTGCTCATTTATTCAGGAAATATTTACTGAGGAAAGTGGCAAGTAACTTTTCACCCTCTGACCAGACTAATAGAGTTACAGAGTGGAGCATTCAGTGGGAGAGGATAGTCACTGTTATGCAGCACAGCCACTGATAGTCTCTGTGAAGTGAGATTTGAGCCAAGACCTGAAGCATGTGAGGGAACAGGTAGTCTGTTAATCTGGGAGCACATCCTTTTAGGTAGTGAAAGAACAAGTTCAAGGTTGTGGCATAGATACAAGAGCAAGCTTGGAAAAACACAAATAGTATGACTGAAATTATGAGAGCTGTAGGAAGATCAAGCAGAGATAAGGTCAGAGAAGTGGTTTGGGTGGGTAGAGAGCAGACATACATTTGCTTGTAGTCCACTGGTAATGACTGGCTTTTATGCTGAGTGAGGCGGAAACCTTTGGAGGATTTGTAGCTGAGCATAACACAATTGCTTGACATTTTGCTGGAAATCTTAAGCTGCTGGAAGTAGGGGTGCTGAAGAAGTGGGGGGCCAGTTTGTTAGAATAAATGGACATGGTGTTAGCTTGAGCTAGGACTGTAGCATATACGGTGAAATTTGGTTAGAGTCTGGATACAGTTTTGCAAATAAAATAGATTTTGCTGATGAATGTGTGCAAAGAGCATGAGAAAAAGATGACAAGGGTGACTTCAAGTTTTCTGGCATGTTCACTTTGAAGAATGGAATGTACATTTACTAAGTTGTTGGTAAAGCAATTTTTGTTGAGGGATGGTTTGAAAAATGAACAGTGTAGTTTTCTACAAGATATATCTGATGCCTGCTTGGCAAGCACAAGGTTCTGAGTTCAATCTTCAGTCCCGCAGGGCTGGGGAGGAGATATAGCTAAAACTCATTAATTAAATCTTTTTGTAATGTAGATCTCTTAATAAGAACAATGAAATTATTTTTGTGGGAAATAATATTTAACTTAGGCTGGCCTGATAGCTCAGCGGACTAAAGTGCCTGCTTAGGCAGAGCTCAGGGGCCAGGGTTTGATCTCAGGTGTGCTGTGCCAGCCCCTCCCTTGGGACGCACTGATTTGGTGATTGAGACTGGGCGTGGTGGCACATGCCTGTAATCCCAGCGCTCAGGAGGCTGAAAACAGGAGGATCACTATGAGGCTGTCTACATAGTGAGACCCTGTAGACCCTGTATCCCCCTGTAATAAATGCAAAAAACAACAACAACAACAACAACAACAACAACAACAACAAAAAACAAAGCCAAAAAACAAAACAAAACAAAAAAACCCCAACAAACTTTGGTTCAAAGTTACCATTCCTTTTCATCAGAATTTAATAAAATGCTCATCTTTTGATCTTGATTCACGAGACTGTACATATTTTATTTTTGAAAATGTCTTTTCATTCAGACAGGTTCTGTAAATACTGGTATCATTTCATCAATGATTTTAATTGAACATACTCATTACTTGGAAGGTACATAGGGGCCTTTGTATTTTTTATATTTTTTTACCCCTTTAGTATCTTATTATATTATGGATTTATGGCTTCCAGTTGGAGGTTAGGTGGAAGCTTCTCAGTTGCACAATGAAAGGGTGTTTAAAATACGGAAAATTTATTTTTCACTTGGCATTATGGTCTGAAAAACCCATACTAGGCTATAGTTTGAACTTGGAAAATACAGTCACTGCGAATTTGTATGGGAACAAAATTCTCCCTTATTTTAATTTTTGATAGCTTGGTAGGTACTTGGGATTTTAAGAATGCTAGTTGTCATTCCAATTACTTTATCACAGTATTTTTTACATATGCTATTTTATCTTGCAATTTTAAGTTAAATTCATTGCATCATTAAATTTGCATTGAACACTAATTATCAAAACAATTTAGTGCTTAGTAGAAGTTGAAAATATGTCCAACTATGAGTTTGTCTGCTCTGCACATGTTTTCTTTCTTTTTTTCTTCCACAATCACTTATAGTGTATCTTAGTAGATTTCACATCAGGTTGTATTGAATTAATGTTTGGCCAAGTTACTTGTTAATACTATTTCCTGAGCCAGGCGTGCTGGCGTACACCTATAATCCCAATATTTGGCACTCTGAGGCAGGAGGATCATTGGGAGTTAGAGACTAGCTTGAGCTCCAAAGTGAGCTAAAGGACAGCCTGAACTGTACAGCAAGACCCTGTCTCAAAAAGACCAAAAAAGAAAAAAAAATTTCTTATACATTGTCTCATACAGAATATTTGTAGGGACTAATTCTCCAGCCACTTCTAATTCAACATTTAACTCCACAATAGCATCTGAGCCACTGTTTACATTTGTTGACTCAAAGAGAGTTGTGTAATCAAGGAAAACCACTTGAAATCATTTTTGCACAGAGGTGCATGTAAGCATGCATTGGAAATCAAACGCAGGACCTTATATTTGCTATCAGTTACTCCACCACTTAGCCATGTCCTCAGGCATTTGCTTTGTTTTTTAAATTGACAGTTAAAGGTGCTGCACACTTCCTTATTTTTCCAAGCAATCATTTTCACCAAGGTGTAGTGGATGGACTTAAGCCAGTTTTTTCTGGATACATTTCTTTGGCTACTGAAGCCAAACATAATTTAATGGACTTACCATTAGTAAATGACTTTCCTTCCTTGGCTAACAAAGGAGCTACTTAGAAATTTACTTAGATTGCAATCTAATTATTATGTATTCTTCATTGTGGTAGATACTGTTTCAGAATTCTTGACCTTTTTAGAGTATTGCTTTCCTGTGAGTTGAGAATATTTTGATGAGTGCATAGTTAAGTGATGATATATATTCTATTCTTTTAGCACTGTTATAGTGTCACAGTATAATAAACATATTTTGCCATCTAATTTGTGGTAGTTGACATTGTTCTGTTCCATAAAGGCACAGCCTTAACCATTTTTTTGGTACTGGTAATTGAACTTAGGGCTTTGCACTTGCCAGACAGATGCTATAGCTCTGAGCTGTATCCCCAGCCCAGCAGTAACTCTTATTTTCTTGTTTTTACATAATGTATATAATATATACGTATTATATATAATATATATCACTTTTTTTTTCTTTCCTGTGGTACTGGGGATGGAATCCAGGACCTTGTGCATGTTAGGCAAGTGTTCTCTCTACTACATCAGCAGCCCTGCATTGGTAATTTTTAAAAATAAATGTGGTATAGCAACATATATGGAAATTGAAATGCTGTTGCATTATAATACTATTGTTTTATGAGCCAAGCAGCAGTATAAGCTAATGAGATTGGGTTTTTTTGTACCTCCAACTGGGTCGCTGATAGTACATTCAGACCTTAACATCAGTGGATTAATGAGTATTGGGTCCATATGGTCCAGTACCTCTCCAAGAGCCTCTTACTCAAGTCTACAATTAACAGTCAAATCAGTCAATCATATAAAATTGAAATCTGTTTTTAAAAACCTACAGCAATAAAATCTAGGTTTTTAAATTATTGAAAGTAAATACATTTATTTACAATTATTTAGCATAAAATGTGTTAATCACATTAATATCTTTTAAATAGTAAGATATAAAAATTCTAGAGAGTGAATATGTGACAATAGCAGATTCTTTTACCAGTTTTCAATATTTGAACTAAAACCAGCTTGATCATCATGCCACTGTTTCTCCATTTCACTGTCACATCCTCACAGTCACATTCCTGCATTTATTTTATTTTCAGTATTGAAAATGATGTAATATAACTAAGTTACATTATGTGTACCCATTAATATTTTTAAAAAGTACAGTGTGGCAATACCTGTGGAACTGAAAGCTGCTGAATTATGAATTCTGCAGTTGATAGCATTCATTCACAGTGTGAACTGGTAAGAGTGTCACTTCAGTTTTCTCAGATGGATGCTCTTCTCAGTTTTCCTTGTTAGAGGGATTTCTCACTTCAGTCTCCTTTTTAGTCATTTACATTGATACATAGTTCTCAGGGATAGTAACAGTTTATATTGAAGCAAAGAAAAAATATTGATAAAATGAAATGCAGTAAGTGGCTCTGTTTGGAATGCTCAGCTGTGTTAACAAATGGAGTCATGAAGACAAATATAAAAGTTCAGCTTTGAGAACATCAAGCAGTTTCTGAAAGCCAGGAAAAGAATTAGTGCTGTGATTTTAACTCTGCTTGAGAGCTAGCAAATGTTCCTCCAGGCACACACAGAAGCAGTGTTTGTGCACACATCCACACTCAGTTTCTCCTGCAGATTATACCTTTTCAGCCTGACCTCCTTCCCATTGTCCAAGGTAGCATCCACTGCAGCTTGTACTGTCTCTCTGTTTATTGCCCTCACATTTTTTTATTGTCATTGCCATACAGATTACTTCCATACTACTATCTGTAGTTTGTATTTATTCTCTACTTAAAGGCTTTGTAGAAAGTGTGAACGATAGACTTTCACTAGCCTCATCTTTGCTGCTCTTTGAAATAAGCCTCTTTAAAAAAAAAAAGCTTTTACCTTTTTACTGTTTATGTAACAACATTGACTTTACTGGGTACCAGGTAAAGTCATTTATCTTAGTCTCTTTTTGTTGTTGGGACAAATACTAAGTGTCAGTCTATACTCGTCAAGGCAGAGTGGCACATGGCAGAGAGCATGGCGAGAGCAAGAGAGGAAAAGGAGTGGCAGCAGCTTAGGTGGCTAACTAGCCTCTCTCCGCGCCTTATATTTTATAACAGATTACTTGCCCTCCCCCCCCCGCAGGTGCAGAACTCACACCCACAATAATCAGTCACCAACTCCAGAAGCTGCCCCATGACTGTATGAGGTTTTGGGGGGACTACTAGACACAAACTATAACACAGGTTCATTTGTATTTGTTGCAAGAGTTTCAAATCATTTGTCTTAAAAGTGAAAGTTCTTCTTCACTTGATTAT